GTATCCACTCCACAGATTTCAATGACTTGGACCCAATGGACACCCCTACCCAAGGAGCATTTCCTTATGTCGTAGTGCGTTTACATGAGGTTCTCTACTACGATATGGATCAAAGCATTCATGTGAACAGCCCCAAATCTTCAGTATATTACATAAACCATTCAAATGCACCAATCGTTAACCATATCACTTCCAAACCTGCCTTTAGTATGATTTGTACATCTTATAGAAACTTAGGACCTTCCACCCATACTTCCAGCACCAGAGGATCCCATCCACCCATCTTGCATTCACGGAATGTCCTAATAAAGCTTCCTGAGCACACAAAAAAGATCACACGGCAGCGTGTGCTAGTGTTAAGCCCCGCCCTTTCTTTTTCAAGCCCCACCCTCTTTGCATACCGTGTCACAACTATCGCAGAACGCACACTGCAGCTACCAATGTGGGAAAAGTTTACAAGCCGTTGAGGCAGGAACAAGCGTTCATACATCTGCCGCGACCTCCTCGGTGTGACATTGACCTGAATGATATATTTCGCCAGTGTAAGCCCTGTGATCTCTCTAGCAGTGTCTGTGTCGTTTTTCAATAAAACTTGTCAGAGGGACCGTGGGGTCAGTTTACAGGACTGTTTGTTTCTTCAGGTTAATGCCGTTGCTTATTTTATCTTCTCATCAAAAGGTTCCTTTACAGACATACATATTGTGTGGAATTATCGTTTTTTCACATCATAGCTGTTTTACTGTTGCAAGCCTTCAGCCTAGGGGGTTACAGGGGGTCCTTTTTTTAAGAGAACCTGTATTGTGGATGCTGTGCTCAAAAAATGGCAAGCAAAGGCCTAGCCATGGGGTGGCGAACTCCGGCCTTCCAGCTGTTCTGGGAACTACAAGTCCCATGAGGCACTGCAAGACTGACAGGCATGACCCACCCCTGGGCCTAGTCACTAGTATTGCCTAGGCCAGTGATGGCGAACCTTGGCACTCCAGCTGTTTTGGAACTACAAGTCCCATGAAGCTTTGCAAGGCTCTGACAGCCACATACAACTCCCAGAGGCAGATGCATGTTGGGATTTGTAGTTTTGGCATAGCTGGAGTGCCAAGGTTCGCCACCACTGGCCTAGGCTGTCCCTGCAGCTGGTCTTTTTCCCATCACTGACTTATGCCTTGTTCTGGATTGACTAGATCCATGAACCCATCGCACTCCTGACCGATTGTCTCCAATGAAAGAATCTGGGTGCTGCGGTGGTCGACGGACGGCAACCGTCATGTAACGGCAGGAAACAGGGACACCGGCACTCCAATGTTAGTTCAAATACAAAGTCTTTATATTGTAGAAAAAAAAACTACATGTCACAAAAGTTGCCACAATGTTTGTGACATGTAGTTTTTTCTACAATAAAAATACTTTGTATTTGAACTAACATTGGAGTGCCGGGGTCCCTGTTTCCTGTTGTTCTGGATTAAGTCTCTCTTTGGAGGTGGCCATCTTGGTAGAGGCACGGCTGCATATTGGAGCTGTTCCTCTATTGGTTGGTGCGGTAATGATCAAAAAGCGTCAGAAGAGTTGGAAGAAGCACAGATTTACAGAACAGATGCAGCAGACGTAGGGAGATCCTTGCCTTTCAGTTCCTCAGCTGTTGATTGTAAGTGTCTGGGCAAAAATGTTAAGGAATACTTTGCTGGACAATGGGGGGGAATTTATCAAAACTGGAGCAGACAAAATCTGGAGCAGCTGTGCATGGCAACCAATCAGCTTCTCTCTTCAGTTTGTTCAGCTAAGATTTGAAAATGAAAGAGAGAAGCTGATTGGTTGCCATGCACAGCTGCTCCAGATTTTGGTTGCTCCAGTGTTGATAAATCCCCTTCAATGTACATTTGTTGGACCTGGATTCATTACTTTAAAAAAAATGAGAGTTTAATGCAATGAGTGTAAAGGCACATAAAACGTTAAAGCCTGCGGATAGACATGCACAGCGGTGATGTGCAGGGGCTTGGTGCCGCAGTTCACCCAAACCCACGCAAATTTGTCAGTGATGTACCCCCCTCCCGGCTCAGTCATTTATAGCAGGGGCATTCCCCGCCCTACCATTACACATCACAAAGGAATGGGAAATGCCACAAGCACAGGGCGGGAAAGGGGGTGCATCCATGACCATTTTGCACGGGTTTGAGTAAAGTCCAGTGGAGTGGCTTCGCACCAAGCCCTTGCACAACCTTAGTGGACAGACCCTGACTGGAAAACACGTGGTAGTTAAAAAAAAAAAAAAAAATTCACCATGGTTTGGTGAATTGACATTTGATGCTGTTTGGTGATGGCGAACAGTCTGGCATATCGTCACGCCTAAGCCAGAACTATGAAATGCGTGGTTGCATGCAGATTATATGAGCATTTAGCATACACTACCAGTCAAAAGTTTTGCAACACTCCCATTTTTTTCAGTTTTCATTGAAATGTAAGCAGTTCAAGTCCACTGAATAACCTGGAATGGTACAAAGGTCAGCGGTAAACTGCAAAAGCCGAAATAAAAGAAGCTTAGGTTAACAAAAACTGACAAATAATGTACATTTCACTAGGGCTGCAGCTAACCATTATTTTCATAATCGATTAGTTGCCCGATTATTTTTTTCAACTATTCGATTGGTTGCATTAAAAAAAATATCTCTCTCCTTACTAACCGATAATGAGAATAGTTGCCAACTATTCTCATCGATTAGTTGTTGCAGTTCTACCATGGCCTTTTTCAATTGTTTTATACTAATTGGGCATCCCTCAATTTGGGTGAGCCAAGATGGTTTACATAAAGGAAGAGCTTAGTTACTTACCCAGAATTTCCTATGGAAATGCTTGGCAGTCAGGGTGCCAAGTTTGTGCCATATTGTAGGAGAAATCTTATTTGGCTCATGCCAAATCGATCTTTTTCATATAGAGGGATGCCCAGTTATCATAAAACAAGCCAAATTTGGGTGAGCCAAGATGGTTTTTGCAGAAGGCCTCATTTACACGAGAAAAGGCCGGCATGTACAGCTCCGTGCACGGCCGTTGCGGGCAGCTCCCAGGAAGGAGAGGTGCTCCATATGATTAGTACGCAGCCCCCGTCCTTCTCTATGGGAGTACGCGGCCGTACGCCGACCTACGCTCACCCAAAGTGCACGTCCGTACGGGTGCGGGTGTCCCGGCGCGGACACAGACAGGATCCATCTTGTCAGAGTACGATTACGGACACCCGCGCGGACGTGCAGGTTGGGTCAGCGTACGGCCGCATAGTCCCATAGAGAAGGACAGGGGCTGCGTACTAATCACACGCAACACCTGTCCTTCCTGGGAGCTGCCCGCAACGGCCGTGCACGGAGCTGTACGCGCCGGCCGTTACTCCTGTGAATGAGGCCGAAGAATCGATTGGCTCCTTATTCAGAATTTCCCATTGAAATACAAATAAATTATTGTAGTATAAACTTTGCAGATGGTTGTGGAGTAAATAATCACATTCATAGATAAGTAACTGAATAAGATTAGAATCTGTGTGAAAAGGTTCTGCATTTGAATAAGAAGCAATCTACAGCAGGCGAATAAGGAGCTAACTTCAGCATCATTCATGATAAGTTAATCGTACCCAGACGTGTCCTCTATGTACTTGCAGAACTTCACTCGCTGTCACCCTGTAACAGGCAGAAGACAGCTGACACCTTCAGCCAACACGTGCGTTCCACGCTCACTTCCGCATTCGGCTGCCCGTGTATGACTAGATGGAGGCTTGGAACGCACGGTGGCTGCTACTTCCCCCATTGAGGACCCGGGGTCCTTCATAGAAATAGGCTGTTCCGCTAAGTGCCTGATTTCTTCTGAGATAAATATAGGCTAAAACAGAAGGAGGATCCAACAGGCTTACCTGGGGCATCAAAGGACAATCAGCACAGGGGTTGTATTGCTGCAAGGGCTAAGGTAGGTCAGAGCTGAGCATTGGATTGAATGCAGTGTTGTCACCGAGAGCAAAGCGTTAGCTGCACCATTGCTGATCACAGATATTATATTGTTCTTATGGCTGTTTGGCTTTGTGTGTGCTGTGCATTCTTCTGAGCTGTGTGACCTGCATGTAGTTGTATTATTATTCATGAAATCTGCAGATCACTGAGGTCAGCCAATACACATCTCACTCTGATTGGGCAAATTCACTGCCAGTCAATAAATACCAATCTGACGCCTGTTTGCTGCATTTTTCTGCAGCGTTTTCTAATTGCATATGTATTCCCAATCGCTGGATTCTCATAAAAAGCTTTCAGCTTTCATTAAAATAATCCCTGGTGATCCTGCCACGAAGATCCTTGTTCAGGCACTTCCTGTTATAAGATGACAACGCTCTGTCCCTGTCTTCCAACTGTGCTCCTGCGTTGTCACCCTGTCATATGAACGGAGACTACAGGTGGCTGTTTTGACACACATTACACACTATAGGTCCGCTGTTGTCACCATCAGCAAACTCGACCCCTTTCAAATGTCACGCAGGCATTGGAGTGACTGTAGACAGGAAGTGGCTGCAAGGAGGCTGAAGGAGACCAGCAGCACTAAAATGTAACAAAGGATGAAAAAAAAAAAGTGTTTAAAAATGTCGATCTTTGATAATACAAAGTGCTTTAGCAAACTAAGATGATGATTTATAACAGGAGCGGCTTTTATTGTATTGTAAGTGTACTGCCCCCTTTAATTTTGTAAAGTGGTGCTATATAAATCCTGTATAATAAAGGAGAGCAGATACTCTGTTATGTTGCACACACATTTTACAGCCCATTCATAAAATGCAGGCTGAACGCCCCATGGAGTTCTCTGTAATGCAGCAGAGAGAGAGCCCGGGTATTGGAGAAAAGCCTGGTCATGTGTCTTTGACAGGTCACATGACCAGGCTTTCCTCCCATTCACTGTCATATGAGGAATGATAAGAAGACGTCATCCCTGTGTAAGCTCCAGTACCATGTGACACATAGCTTACAGGGGATTTGGCATCCTTCCCTTGATGGAGGAACCGAGCAGCAGGGGGTCCATTGTTACAAGAGCACCTGTCTATCCGGGGTGTACGTTCTGGTTTAATCCTACCAAATAAATGTCCTCTCCTCTACACTTCAGAAAAGAAAGCCGCTGTGCGCCATTCTGGAAATGCCGTGTGGTATTGTTGACTTCTTCTCATATCAAATAACAGGTTGGCAGGACTCGATGGGGCTGCAGGGTGCACAAAGAGGCCTCCATTGATCTCATTTCTATGTAAAAACCAATTGCTGACTTCCAGGACTGCGTCAGAAGGTGAAGCATTGACAGATGGAAAGAGGAGGGAACATTTATTTCTGGAGATTATCCTTTGAGGGCCCATTCACATTGTAGGTTACCTTAATGCAGGAAAATACAAACCTGATGATGAGTTCCCAGGTCCCACCTGATGTGCCCATTATGAGGAGCTCCTACCATCCCTGTGCTGAGTTCCCAGGCCTGTACACCTGCTTACCCCATTATGAGGGGCTAATTTTGTTTATTGAAAATCTTACAAACACGAACTTATATACAATAAAACAATAATAAATAAATGAATGAATAAAACATATATACAAAATAATTGAATATAACTATACAAAACAAAGGGCAATAACATCAAACAGAAAAATCAATGCGCACACATAATCCCTACGAGAGAGCCAGACTAAGGAACATCACCGTCACCATGCATGTAGCCTCTTATCAAAAATATATTTGATCTGAAAATCTCGGGGAGTGAAGAAAGGACAGAGAGAAAAGCCGCACACCCCGAGATCAACAGGCAGCAGCTATCACTATCCTTGCTGGATTCTTTTATTTTATATTATGGAGAAAATAACAGGAGCTGGAACACCCAAAATTCCCAGGTGGACAGGAACATTTGGGAATGATCTCACATCCAGCATCCAAGTTGAATAAGAAGGGCTGGAGAGCCACCTATGAGGCCCCGTTCCCACTGCGCGATATGCAAGTCGCGCGTTTGTCGCGCGATTTGCATATTGCGCGACATCGCGAGATTTGACGCGTTCAAGCTTGCATTGAGCAAGCTTGAATCGCGGCTAAATCCGCTCCAAAAAGGGTCCTGCTGTAGCGACACACGACCCGCGACAGCAGGACCCTTTGCCCCATTGGATTGCATTGGAGCGCGATATCGCGGGAATTACCGCGCGATAAATCGCTCAATGTGAACGGGGTCTTAGAGGTTATTCTTCAATGGACGGGTTATGCCGCTGCCTTCAGGTGATTGGCAGATCATCCAACGTTGTGTAAACCGTCCTACTCCCAGCGTGCCTCAGTATTTTGCTGGTGTGCTCCAGTGATGGACCTCCTGATTCTCCTCGAGGTAAGCCTCAGTCAGCCCCCATAGGTGCCCCGGTGGTAGCCCCAGTACCCTACAGGCTCTGGAGCAACTTTGGTGCTGCACTTTTGATGGTGTTTAAATATTGCCTTGTCTGTGTTATATTCCTCTGCTCCCTGTTGGAGGTGTTGTCCCGTGGGCCTGTTAGCCATTGGTTTGTTGTGTTGCCCGCCCCCTCCCTTGGACTGCTTTTGGTCCACCACTCTGTACTGCTTATTGGGGAACTAAGTACAGCTGGGAGTGGGCAGAGGTCAACAGGCCTGTCCTACCAACTTTGACTGATTTTGCCAGCGTCCAATCACCTGAAGGTAGTTGTATAACCCATCCTTTCCATAATTGGCTCCCTGTGTCCTGTGATGTACCCCAAGCAACGGATATTACAGACAAGACAAAAATTCCTGTTTTTCGGGGGGATCCTCTTGACGTTCAGTCCGAACCCTTTAAATTGCCAAGATGTGATCATCTCGCTGCTGGGCCGTAGGTGTGGTCCACTTCACCTTTCGTTTGCACTCACTCAAGGACACTTTCTTTCCAGGAAACGTTTTTAGCCTTGAAACTCCAACTTCTCCCAGCAGGTAATGTTAATGCCTCGTAGATAAGGCCCAGAGATCTGAGATTGTCTTGATAAAGCCCGATGCCTCAGAGAGTTTAACTGTTTCCTCTTAGAAGCAGGAGATAAAGTCTATTGAAACCCAAGAACAGAAGAGAAATGTATAGAAGCTTACCAGTCCTTGGGCATGGTGGCTGCATTGGATGTATATTTTCCTTTTACTCTCACCTGGTGATCCTGCCAGTAACGCACTTCCTGTCCTAGGGTGACAACGCTCACTCACTGTATCTTTGGAGGAGCTGCGTTGTCACATTAGGACAGGAAGTGTGTTTAGTACTGCAGAACAACGGGAAATGTTATTCTTACCTTCCGTAATTTCCTTTCCTGGCGCATCAATGGCAGCACACTATGGATTAGGTTTCATAGTGTGCTGCCATGATGCCCCAGGAAACAATGTTATCATGTACTTCTCTTATTGGGGTCCTGATAATTCAATTGATAGCTTTTAGTTATCTTGTCTATCTGTAATCAATGCAAAATATAGCCGTTGATCCTGCCAGGAATTCAGTGAGCTGAGAACTTCCTGTGCTCTCTGCCGGTTATGCATTGACATCCCAAGCGTTGTTATCAACTCAGCGGGCAACTACAAATAACAGAACCCCCCTCCCTATGCGAGTGATGTAATTGTGCAAGCACGTGATGACGTCACACGCTGTTACCCGCCGGCGGCCATCTTGGTGATGGACGACGGCAGAGAGAGGAGAGGACATTCACCCGGCGGGATAAGGTATGTCGCCGGGTCCCCTCCTCTCTCTTTAGAGCAACTGTCGGACTCTCGGTCCATGACTGAGTGCCCAGCTTTTCAGAGGGGTTGACACTAAAATGACTATCAGTCATTTTGGTGTCCCCCCTCCAATGGTGTCACCCATGTGCGGGTCGCACCTCCCACGTCCCCCTAGTGACTCCACTGGCCAGCTAAATTGAGCCAGTGCTCAATGGAGCACCAGCTCCATTGAGAACAATTAGAGAAAACCTCAAATGTTAGGTGCCAGCTGTATGCCATACAGTATGATGAGTGAGCGTTGTCACCCTAGGACAGTAAGTGTGCTACTGGGAGGATCACCAGGTGCAAATAAAGGAATAATGGCAAGAAAAAAGAAAACTGGTGCAGCCATAAAATCTAAGGACTGGTGAGGTGCAATTACTTTCGTTCTTAAGTTTGGATACACTTTAAGGCCATTATATAAAGTTTTTGAGAGCCGACATCTAGGGTAATGGTGTTAGAAGAAGCAGACGTGAACCCATAGATGCATAACCTGTGTTTTTGTGTATTCTTTGCATCCTTTGCTTGTTTTTTGTTCTCCAAAGCACATTTATAGTGGGATAAAAATATAACAAAAGGGTTGAGGTCCATAGAAAAGGTGGTCAGGAAGCAGCTGGTTTGGACATCCTGGTCCTCTCATTCTAGACAGTTCCTGCACACCTGTGATATCATTACTGCCAATACACACTCAGCATTCCTGCTGAATTGGGCAAAATTTGAGCCATGGATGGCCTCGTTGGCACCAACCAGATGGCACTGTCGGTCCAATCAGATTAAGTCACTGTTTTGGGGGGGCGACTGTCTAAATACAATAGCCGGCAGGGAGCATTGCTCCATCCAAGCTGTGTAGCATGTACTTTAAGGCTGGTCTTACCTATTGTATTGCAGTGAGCCCTTCGCAAACTGGCTTGGTGCCGCTCCCTTGGCAGCGATTCCCTCTGCCCAGAACTCAGAAGCGACACATTGGGGTAAGAAGCCCATCTGACTTAGGCTTGCTATACATGGCCATCAAATGGCGGTTTTTTGAGCTCATGTTCCCAGGGTGCACTGGGGCAAATTGCTCAATACGCTCAACCAGATTTGGCTTTCGTGAAGGGGAAGGCTGACATGTGACGGAACAGTTGTCATTGGTTTTGCTTTGTGGCCTTGATGTCCCTTATTGGATTGCCATAAATTGTCCAAATATGCCGAACTTTTCTATAAATTCCAGAACAGACTCCACGCTCCGCAGTGACACAGACAATCTGACCTGCGACTGGTGACAAGGGTCTCGCACCTCTCACTGTGTCAGCACCTTGGGTCATCTGAAGTCAGATTAGCTTATCAGTGGTGATTACAGTGGCCCAGTTATCTGACTCTGCCATCCCAGTCTGCAGTGTGACAGCAGCCTAACCTTCTCTGTGTACCAAGTTTCACCAGAGGCAGAGGGATTATGGAATTTGTAGTTTAAAGCACAGCTGGAGTTGCTCAGCCCTGATCTAGCCCTTTCTTCCCCAGTCTGACTGCCCCTAATTTGTATTGGGATTGTAGTCCATCACAGGAGTGAGCTTGGAGCGGTGACTACTTCACAACACACACACAGGGACCATGGGGAACAAAAGTAGCCCCCCTCCAGAAGGAAGGACAGTGTCGGCACCAATTCAGAGATGATTGGAGGATCTACAGCCGAGCGATACACAAATAAGAGACATTTTCGGTAATAGTTGAGGGACTTGAATGTATTTTTAAGATTCAACTCCGGAGTTTAGTGTCACTTTAATGAAAGTGTTCCACCGCTGTACGATGAGCTCAAAGTATAAACTTCTTTTTCACCAGATCGGGTCAGGATGGCGGCTCGACGAGCTATGAAGGCCGTACTGGTGGATCTTAGTGGCACTCTGCATATTGAGGACACGGCTATCCCGGGAGCTCAGGAAGCTCTCAGGAGGTGAGAGTACCTGGCATTAAAAAGTGAACAATCTGAGCAAATGTGCATTACAATGTGACAGCAAATACAGATTGTATACAAACCAATATACAGAGGTGGTGGAGCAACCTCTCTGAGAGCGATAGATAGATAGAGAGAGATAGATAGCGTGAGAGAGAGAGATAGATAGTGTGAGAGAGATTGTGATAGATAGATAGAGAGAGTGTGATAGATAGATAGATAGATAGATAGATAGATAGATAGATAGATAGATAGATAGATAGATAGATAGATTGTGTGAGAGAGAGAGTGTGATAGAGATAGATAGAAAGATAGATACATATGTGTATAGATATATTTTATATTTTTTCACTATTTTGTATTGGAGAATAAATTCCCTCTATATCAGGTGTGGGCAAACTCCTGCCCTCCAGCTGCGGTGTAACTACAAGTCCCATGAGGCATTGCAAGATTCTCACAGGCATGACTCCCGGAAACAGATGCATGATGGGATTTATATTTTCACCACAGCTGGGGGCCCGGAGTTTGCCCACCCCTGCTCTAAGTGTAGTTTTCTCTGCTGAGCTGTAGAACACCTTTTCCTCTATCGCCCCTTTTTTGTTTCTTGCTTCAGGTTACGTAGCTCTCCTCTGGCCATACGCTTTGTGACAAATACCACCAAGGAGAGTAAGAGGACCCTTCTGGAAAGGCTGAGGAAGCTGCAATTCGACATCAGCGAGGATGAGATCTTCACCTCTCTGACTGCAGCACGGAATTTGGTGGAGCAGAAGAACGTCCGCCCCATGCTGTTGGTGCATGATAGCGCTCTGCCCGACTTTGAAGGTATTGGACCCGGGATATATCCTAGTTATTGGTTTCATGTACCCAGGTGCAGGTCCTGGTGCCAAGGGAAGGTTCATATGCATTCCACATTTGACAGATGGCACAGGTGACAGCTCAGGTCCACACTAATGATCGGGAACCAATCAGCATTGACCATGTAATCACATGACCGCTATGACACGGTGATAACATGAGGTTCGTTAGCAAACAGGCCTCAGCTGTTTCTGTGCACACAGAGAGACATACAGCTTTTAAACAACACAATTTAAAAAAATAGAAATAATAAAATATAAAGAACGTTTGTCAGCCACCAATAACAATTAGAGGTGCACCAAAATGAAAATTCATTGAAATAACAAAAGTCAGGCCGAAACCGGAAAAGTTTTTATTTCAACTTTTTCAAACATTTTATTATTTTTTTTATGAACTTTTACATTTTTTTATATTTATTTTTATTACATTTAAAAAAAAAATTACTTTACTTTTAGGGGCTTCGGGGAAATATTGGGGGGTCTAAACAGACTCCTGATATTTCCCTTTTAAAATAGAGGACTCTGTGTTCTCAATCCTTTTTCTATCTCTTTTTCTGCAGCCCCTGTCATCAATGAACAGGAATCCTCTATACTGAGTGTTCCTGATCATTGATAACATGAGGACAGAGTATGTTTACTATAACCACAATCATGAATGAACAGGAAGTGATGTAGATCACTTCCTAATTGCTGTCTCCGCCCACTGTGACAGGAGGCTGAGCTGTGTAGGAGGAGAGATGCTGGCCGCTTACAGCCCTCTCCTCCCGCAGAGCTCGGCCTCCTGTGACAGTTTCTCTCCTCCCCGCTGGGACACAGAGCAGCGCCCAGCGGGGAGGAGAGAAAGAACGGATGCGCCGCTGTATCGGCCAGAAAATGGCACTTTCGGCATTATGCCAAAAGTGCCATTTTCGGCCGATATGTTTCGCCGGCTGATATATCGGTGCATCCCTAATAAAAATTTAATCAGGTTATTTTTCAAAGGATATGTGAACCCAGCTACTAATACTCTTTAACATGTTCATGTCATTTCAAAAGTCATTTTCAGTGTTGTCAAATCTGGAACTTTTATTATAATAGGGATGCACTGATACCGTTTTTTGGGTATCGAGTACAAGTACTGATATTTTTCTTTATGGTACTCGCCGAATACCGTTACTGGAGGTCCCGATAAGGAAGCCGGGTGGCGTGTAACTGATTAGCCGGCACCATACACCCTCGTCACCAGGTGATGATAAAGTATGGAGCCAGCTTTCTGGCCAATCAGGAAGCCGGGTGCAGGTAATGACTCGCCGCCTGGTTTCCTGATTGGCCAGCTTAACGTCCAATCAGGAAGCTGGGAGGTGAGTCATTACACTCCACCCGGCTTCCTGATTGGCCAGGAACCTAGCTCCATGCTATCTCCTCACCAGGTGACAAGGAAGCTTGAAGCTGACTTTCTGTCCAATCAGAAAAGCCAGGGGGCAGGTAATAACTCGTCGCCTGGCTTCCTGATACTGGAAGTTCTGGTATCGGGAATAGTATTTGGGCGAGTACAAGTACTTGCACAAATACTTGGTATCGGCACTGTTACCGATACTAGAATCGGTGAATCCCTACATTATAATAATACCTGGGGATCCTGCCATGAAGGTCCTTGTTCAGGCACTTCCTGTCATATGGTGACAATGCTTTGTCCTATCTCTAAATTGTACTTCGGTGGTGTCCCCCTGTCACATTGGCTTCCAATACTGCAACACTCATTACGCAGGCATGATCCACTGTTGTCACCATGATGCATCCCGCCCTGAGAAATGCCTTGTTGCCATTGTTTCAGTGTATTTAGACAGGAAGTGGCAACTCCTCTCCGCCATACAGTATAGTGAGTGAACGTTGTCACCCTAGGAGAGTACATGTGTTACTGGCAGGATCACCAAGTTAAAATAATGTAAAATGGAGGTAAGTACAGTTAACACGTTTTCCTATCCTTGAGCTGGGGTGGACAGATAAATGAATATGGAATTCTGGAGCCAACCGGTCCAGTCAAAGAGGCAGAAGGATTTTCTCTGTTGAGAACAATGAGAGAAAACCTCAAACGTTAGGTGCCCACTGTCATGTTTGAGGAGCATTGGCTACCTGGCTCCTGGGATTTGCCTGTCCTAGAGTGACATATTTGCTCCTCCATGAGTGAGCGTTGTCACCCTAGGACAGGAAGTATGCTACTAACAGGATCACCACATTTAGGCCTCATTCACACGAGAAGCGGCCGGCATGTAGAGCTCCGTGCTGCGTGCAGGGCCGCATCGGGCAGCTCCCAGGAAGGACAGGTGCAGCGTGTGATTAGTACGCAGCCCCCGTCCTTCTCTATGGGACTACGCGGCCATATGCCGCCCTACGCTCACCCGCCCTTTCTGCGATCCTGTCTGCGTCCGAGCCGGGACACCCGCACCCTACCGAGACCTGCACTTGAGGTCAGCGTATGGCGGCATACGGCCGCGTAGTCCCATAGAGAAGGACAGCGGCTGCGTACTACCGTTATCACACGCAGCACCTGTCCTTCCCGGGAGCTGCCCGCAACGGCCGTGCACGGAGCTGTACATGCCGGACGTTCCTCGTGTGAATGAGGCCTTAGGGACCGCTTGGCTACAATGTGACATTTTAGTTCTTGGGTTTGGATGCCATTTTGGAATTTCTGCCTCAGTTACACCCGTATTCAGGGTATAACATGAAACCTGGTCACATCACCAGCGCCTCCCCCCATCTTGCCCCCCCCCCCACACACACACACACATTTACCTGAATGGTGGGGCTCTTTTTCTCACAGACTTTTGCTATTTATTTGTTTTGTGCGCTTTAATCTGGCTCCACCCACACAACCACGCCATCCAATCGCAGGATCTGTGAGTGAAAAGACTACAAGCTTCCACGGCAGAGGGACTTGCTGTTCTTCAAGGAATACAATGTGCATTTTGTATTTTTTGCCAGCAAAGCAATGCAACCGCCACCAGTAGATGGCAAGTGCAATGCTCTGGCTCCTGCAGATTCTTTCTCCCATCCGTGTCCATTCCAAGGTACGGACTTTCAGTAACAGGGGCGGGAGGAAGAATCTGCAGGAGCCAGAGCATTGCGCCCAAAATCTACTGATTGCATTTTCAATGCTTTATTGGCTCCAAATATAAAAAAAAACAATACATGCAGATTTTTTCTTTTTGCGTTTATTATTATTTTAAGCGGAATTTAGTTCTAGTAATAAAAACAAAAACACGCTACTTTTCCTGGTCTTTCGACAATGAAACCATTAGACACTTTGGGGTGCGGGCGCATTAACATCCTGCTAATGAGAAGACTGTTCTAGAGCGATAGCTGAGGAAAAGGTCCGACTCCTATAAAGACAATTTTAATACCGGTCTGAGAATTAAAGGTTCTCTTTGGCGTTGATGAGAATTTGCACCTTGGGCTCGGTACTGAAGCATGACTGATAGGCTGAACGTACAATTCAATTACTGCCGAGTCTTCTCCTGGTGACCTCTCTCCGTTTTCTCTGCTCCCAGGAATCGCCAGCGACGGTCCCAACGCGGTGCTGATAGGATTAGCTCCCGAGCGCTTCAACTACCAAACCATGAACGAGGCCTTCAGGTGAGTGGCGCCCTGATTGCGGCTCGCTGTCCCTATAATTGGCCGGCTACTGTTTTACGGAAAAGGATTAATTCTGTCCCGGGCTCCGCCGGGACTCAGCGAGGCGCGTAATACCGTTCCATCGCTGCTTTAATAAGAAATACGGATGGAGACGCCAAGATTCGTGCCCCAGTTATCGCAATGCTTTCCGGCAATTGGGGTTCTCATTTCTGAAGGGAATTTTTTTTAAAAAGTATGTGCTTAAAGGGGACCGATCGGACATTGTCGGCGAGTTATTGATACAAATTATGATGAAAAGGCTTAGTTTGTTTATTTTTTTACATATCTCTGTTCAGCCGAGAGGTTCCAGACCATCTTCAGAGGGGTGCAGATGGGGCCACATACAGGTGAAATTCACCAGGACCATCCTCTGTACCAGTGGTTCTCAACCTTTCTAGGGCCGGGACCCCTTGGCAACATTTGCCAAGTTGTGGTAACCCCCAACAGAGCGCTGGACTCGGGACTTAGTAAGGTACTGGACTCGGGACTTAGTAAGGTACTGGATTCAGGACTTAGCAAGGCACTGGACTCAGGACTTAGTAAGGCACTGGACTCAGGACTTAGTAAGGCACTGGACTCAGGACTTAATAAGGCACTGGACTCAGGACTTAGTAAGGCACTGGACCCGGGACTTAGTAAGGCACTGGACCCGGGACATAGTAAGGCACTGGACTCAGGACTTGGTAAGGCACTGGACCCGGGACTTAGTAAGGCACTGGACCCGGGACTTAGTAAGGCACTGGACCCGGGACATAGTAAGGCACTGGACTCAGGACTTGGTAAGGCACTGGACCCGGGACTTAGTAAGGCACTGGACCCGGGACATAGTAAGGCACTGGACTCAGGACTTAGTAAGGCACTGGACTCAGGACTTAGTAAGGCACTGGACTCAGGACTTAGTAAGGCACTGGTCTCAGGACTTAGTAAGGCACTGGACTCAGGACTTAGTAATACACTGGACTCAGGACTTAGTAAGGCACTGGACTCAGGACTTAGTAAGGCACTGGACTCAGGACATGGCAACACACTGGACTTGGAAATAAAAATAGAAGCACACTCACAAGAATGCAAGCCCGCCCCTGCTACGTGCTTGCCTGCTCTGTCTCCATGCGGACCCCAGTGACTACCATACGGATCACATCCTCAATAAGGACCCCAATAACTACCGTACAGATCATATTCTCTATAGGGACCCCAATGACTGCCATACAGATCACTTCCTCTATAGGGACCACGATGACTATCATACAGCTCACATCTTCTATAGCAGGGGTGCTATCTCAATGAAGATCTTTGGGCTCCATCAACAATTACTATGCAGCCATTTTAAAGCTGAACTCCGGGTGGGCAAATATTATTGTTCTCCTACAAGAGTCATATGTATTCTTCCTTGAGTCCCGCTGAGCTTTGTGTATTTCTTCCAGATCTGTGCTGTAATCCAGTGTGACGCTTGGAACTTCCTATAATAAAGACCGCTCACTGCTGCTCTTTCTCCTTGTGCATGATGGCTGGTCTTGTCTCCGCCCCCTCCTGTAGTTTTCTGCAGGCAGCCTGTAGTGGGTGGGGCCTGCTGGGTCCCTCCAACAGCTCTGCCCTCTGTACAGCACAGTGATGATGTCACTGCTACCTTTTACAAGGTTATATGCGGGTTTGTAAAGACATTGTGTGTGTGTGTGTGTGTATAGATAGCAGCTTAGGAATGTAAATCTTTCAATCAGTCTGACTTGCCCCATAGACTTGCACTGAGCGAGAGAACAGTAAAGCTTATTCACTGCAGCAAAATAGGTTTAAGGAGTGGACAAGCACAGCTGCCTTCATTACATACATATTTGTAAACATAAAAATGGTTTTAAAACTTCAGGAGGTCTATTTATAAACAATTTGCGGAGCCGTTCACCCTGCGAATCTCTGTGAACATTCGTTTTGTGCGAATGGAGGCAAAAACATTCTCTGCATATTTTCACACCCGTTCGAATGTAACATTCGGGAAAATACCTTATTATGACCACTAGGTGGCGGTGAGGATCATAGGAAAGAAGTATTGATTTCAAAAGCTGCAGAGCTGCAGTCATGTGATGCTCCAGTATTCGCTCCTCTTTTGTTTGCATGAGCTGAGGTCCTTCTTTGTGTCATGTGGACACTTCCTATTGGCAGTCCAGTGGAGGGGTTCTTTCAGTGCAAGGGGACCGACCGGCACAGGCACATTTGCAGCACTGGTTTAGCCTGGAAGCAGTGAGGGACCTGGATGGCGGACGTAGGGGAGGGTAAGAAAAAAAACTGTGTGCAGGATGGGTTAGAGGGGGTGGAGGGGGGGCATTAAGTAAGTATTTGGGGCTTTCAG